CGATGCTCTAACCGAGCCAAAACGGCTAGGGCTGTGACCCCTTCTTTAACCCTCATATCAAATGCGTTACCAAGTCCAGCCAGCCAATATCTTTGGACTCCAACCCTCTTTGCTATTCCCACTTCCACTGCTTTAGTTCAGGTCCTCCTTGTCCTTTCTCCTGCGTCAGCATTCCGGCACAGCGGTGTCCTTGCCACCATCCTCACTCTGCTCTTCCTGTTTCCTGCTGCCACAGTCATCTTCCCATTGCTCCATTTCAGCTACATCATTGTCATCCTCAAACCCGGCGTTGACGCCTTATTGCTTACACCTGGAGTCCAGATTCCTTAGCCTAGTAATCACAGCTGAGTCTCAGCCTTATTTACTCTTCATATGCCCTATGCCCTAGCCTGGTGTTTCTCAACCTCATTTTCATTACTGTCCCCCTAAGGAGCCTTCCGAGGATTTTTTTTTTTTAAGAAGTATGTCTCTATCATTTTCCTTTTTAAAAAAATATTTTTTACAGGGAGGAGATATGAGGGCAATGAGATATTTTTTAAAAATATATATATTTTATTGATTTTTTTACAGAGAGGAATAGAGAGTTACAAACATCGATGAGAGAGACACATTGATCAGCTGCCTCCTGCATACTCCCTGGGGATGTGCCCGGAGACCCAGCCATGTGCCCTTGACTGGAATCAAACCTGGGACACGTTAGTCCACAGGCTGACGCTCTATCCACTGAGCCAAACCAGCTAGGGCTTGAGGATATTTTTCTTAATCACCCCTTACGAAATGTTAATGCCACCAACATACTAGTGTATATCTGTTTATGCATTATACACATGTTTATGTTTTATACTTTATATTTAAAAGTAAGATGTTTTCACCCACCAAGAACCAATTTTTGCTTCATTAAGGGCAATATCTTCCCTATTGACAATGTATACTCTAACAAAAACAGATCACTTACCAATTCCTGAATATGTCCTTATATTTTCTTGCTTCCAAGTGTTTGTTCACTTTGGCTAATAGAAAGAGGAGTTGAAAGAATATGAGAAGATTCCTGGCGGGTAAAGCTGCCTTGCCTGGGATTGACTCACACATCTCTCTCAGCACCCTCCATTCTTCTGTTGAAAGCTGACCTTTGCTGTTGCAACCTAAATACCCTGTCCTCCTCCCTCTCATCCACTCAGAAGGAACCAGCTTCTTTCTGTGCCCCAGTAGAACCTTCTTTATGTCTCTATTGTGTTCTTCTTTGCAGTGTAGTGATTTTGCTTTTTGTGCTATCTCCCCCACTGTACTATAAACTTCCTAAGTACAAGAACTAACTTCTTCACAGTGTACGATGCCTGCTAACAGTAGGCACCTTTATACATTAGTTAAAATCAATTCACTGATACCCCGGGGACAGGAACAAGATAAAAGTCTACCAGTGCTCACATTAAAAAGTGCATGCTGCCCTTTTTATTTATGCATGCTGAATAAATGAACACAGGAGTGAATAGGGGGAGGGGGGAAATGCACATTCCTAAACCAACATCATTAACACAGAGACTATGTATAAAGGAATGTGAGTGTTGTACAACACTGGTGAACTGAATTGATTCCT